TTGACTTAGGTTTAACAAGCTGTTTTGCTGTCAAAAAGAAAGAGAATCCAGGGAAACTACAGAGATTTCACCTGAATGACCAGGCACCAAGATCATGTCACCTATGATGAGAGGGCTGTGTATCTAATGGGAGCCTACCACCACTTGAAGGGTAGCTGCAAAGCCAAATCCTCCTTGTTAGGATCAGGAGCAGTAGTTATGAGGTGCAATTTGGGAGGCTTTAAGCAAGATGTTATGGTGGGCAGCTGTGTCAGAGGCACCCAAAGCTGGTGCAGTCTGCATTCTTGGAAACTGCCAAACTCATCTAGGCAGTCACATTTAACTTGCTTTGGTGCTTCATGGTGGGACTTTGGTGGTATGACCTTCAGTAGTGCCTTCCAAACAGCATTTCTAAGATTCACATCACTGTAGTTAGTTCCAGACATGAGTTTTCCAAATTATTCTGTCCTACAGAAGTTGTATTTCACAACATTGAGTTTTATTTGCTGTCATCTTGTTGATCATCTTGCTTCATTAGGGTCCCTTTAGACGGGAGGATTGCAGCTTTTGCTGGTCTAAATAACTCTATCATCTGCAAATGTACTACATCAGTAATCATTCCCTTCCCCACATCTTTAATTAGCATGACAGACATCAACAGTCCCTATGTGGAAATCTCTGGGCACCTTAATGTTAACCTTTTGCCGCAGTCAAATGGCCATTTATTCCTACTCTGTGTTCTGGTACTTGGCTGAAGACATTTTGAAAGCCCAAATAAATTATGTCAGATGGTGCTCTTTTGTGCCTGCTCATTCAAGTGAAAAATGGACTTGTATTTCCATGTAGAACAATGACACTACACAGCAGAAGTTACACCACCACAGCTCTCAGGGGAAGCTGCAAAAATGCCTGGTGCTGATGGCTACAGTGCATTCATTCCCCGGATTTCAAAAGGTTTTTTGGATGTCTTCCTTACTCCTCTCCTATTACTATCCTCGTTCTGCATGTCACTGACTGGGAAAAAGGAGTTAAAAATAAATCTGTGTTATTAACAAAGAGGAAAACACTCATTTAAGTGCTATTTATATGCCTATGGAGACTGTTCTTGGAAATTCTCCACCAGCTACAGCTACATTCAGTCACCCAGGCAATGGAGAAACTGAACAACTCCTAAATATTATTTACACATGGGCTACACCTCTGGTGCTAATACAGAATCTCTTTTTTTGTACTGAGGAGAAGAAATGGAGGAAGAAATGGAATCCCACATGGAGTCCTTGCCAGACGTAGGACAATCACCTCAGTCAAGTTCCTCAGAACATCTTCTGTGTCTTGCTGGCTGAAATCACCTTAAAATAGGCAACCTTAATATCTCCAACCACCTAAGCCTTATAATAATAAAATTGTTCATCTGTATGATAAGGAGGATATTTTCTCATAGGAAGGCTGAGAAAATCCAAAAAGCACTGCAACATGCTCTCATGCTGCAGTAGCATAACTCAGGTTATTTAGAAGTTGGGCTCCCCATTATGGAGGATCAGAACCATAGTAGCATCTTCAGCAAAGACTGGTTCAACTACCCTTTGCAAAAGCTGTGCAACACCCTCAAAGTATCCCTGCCTTCAACTGGGAAGGTGCAAGGACTAATATAAGCCCTCTTCCCCCAAGCAGTGTGGGAAGCAAGACTGGGAGAAGTGGCATCGGTGCTGAGACATCACAGTAGGGATAAACAGGGATGAGAAGCAAACATACGCAGTGCAAGTGACCCACAGGCTGAAGGGTGAGCTATAATTGGGATATAGCAATATCCACCACTGAACAGCAAGGAACAGAGGCTGCACTGTGCTGAATAAATCACTTGTAATTAATCCAGTGACCAACTTCAGTTCCAAAGCTTGTTTATATCCATCATGGTCTAGTTATCAGAGAGAAAAGAACAAACTCACTCACAAAAATATATTCCAATTAAACACTTGTATCACATTGAGGGCTTGGCTCGTATTTTAGTTCTAGTGAACTGTGAGACGGCCAGTGGAAGCCTTTTGAAGTAGTCAATGATTATTTTAACAATTCAACTTTTTTTTAAAAATAGCAATTTTAACTTTTTGGATTCACTGAACTAGCATGCTATAATATGTCATAGAATTAAAATAACCATTAAGACTTTTACTGGATCAAATCTGTGAGACACCTGAACTTATGGACGTTTCACACTTCAGTTACCCAGTCATCTTAAAATTACCTATTATTAACTGCCTGAATTCATTTGCTTTCTGAACATTTTTGAATACCAGATTTAATATTAAATAGATCTAATATTAATAGCTTCACTTCTTATTTTAAATATGAGAAATAATACAGCTATAATTCTTCTGTTGGTGTGCCTTGCCAGTTTGATTCCTCGCTGGTAGAAGTGTGACAAATACAACATTTTCCTTTGTTTTCTGTAAACAGTTGTACTTAAGGGAGCCTGTAAGAAAATCAGTGGATTCCTCCAAAATATTACTTCCATATTATGTTTAGATGGATATGAAGATACATTTCAACAAAAGGCAATTAATAAATTGCATTTGCAGATATGCCACAGTCTGTGACTTTTATTTTTGCCTTACACAGTTACATCCCACATGATGTACACCAGAAATGGAGAAAATCTTCCCATCCTGTGCCACATATGTGCAAAGTACTTCATGAATAACAACAGTGTGAATAGGCATGGACAGTACAAACCAAACAACAAGAATTACAGCAAATGATGGATATATCGACTCAAGGATTATCTGGACATAGCAAGGCACAGGAATAAACACTCAGACATCCATCAAGCACAGGCTGTTTCCCCAGGGGATCTGCATTGGGCATACCAGTTCAGATTTTGGCTCAATTCTTCATTAGGTGACAGAGCTTCAGTGAGAATACCCACCCCCTCCCCCAAGGAATTAATTTTCAGCACACTCAAGGACAATTTCTTAGAAATGGTGACCCTGGAGCCTTTTCACCTTAAAAATACATCCAGCGGGAAAGTTCCCTGCAACTTTCTGCTCTGGAAATACCAGGAGGTTTCAGACCAGTGCTGCAAGAACACTGTGCTAGAGCCAATGTACATATCAAGCCTGCACAGCCTTTTTCAGCAACTGAGAGGAAAACACCTTCCAATTCTAAATATCACAGTGGCACAACCAATATAAAATATATAGTAGTTCTAATTGGTGTCTCAAGGTGGATGCTAGTATCACATAATGGTTTCTCACTATACTTAATGACTATGTACACCATCCACTTCTGAAGGCGAGGCAGAAACAGAGAAATAAGTAAAATGCTGGGCATAGAGTTTTGTTCATAATGTTGTGAACACGCATCTGACTTTAGTGCAATTATCTGGAGGGTACATGCTCTTCCCTAGGTCAGCAGGGTATGCAATCTGTAGTTAAGAATTATCTGAATGGCCAGCTGATTGATTTCTGGGTTTCTGCACTGCTGCATAGTGACTGATCTAAATCTTGCCTTTTATTAACCTGTCTTTCTAGTGTCTGCCTAACGAAGCAAAGGGAGTGAAGTGAGCAAGGGAAAAAAAAGGACTCAGTCAACTCAAAGCACAGCAGCTCTGGAGGCTTCCGGAAAGGTCAGCATGATTCCAGCTGCACTTGCTGGCAGCCCTGGCTGCAATTAGAGGGGAGAGCAAAGACAGCTCTGCTGTTCCGGCTGCCAGCACAAGCTCGTTAGAAATAAGGACACCAGAATCCTGGTGTCAGGCCACCTGACAAGCATGGATTTAGGTGCCATTATTAAATTATATTTAAATTTAACAAGTACTGAGGGTTTTGATGACTGGAAAGATTCATGTTCCTGTTAGCTGACTGCTCTTGACATGCTCATTTGTGGGAACAAATCAGGAGACAATGCTGTAATAAAGTATATGCTTTCCACTTGATTTTAACAAATGAAGTTAAACCCAAACAAAAAAAGCATCCCTGACTCTTACCAACTTTACTCATAGACATACCTAACTTTAGTACATCAGTATATACCTAGAAGTATTCAAAAGGAAAATGATTGTTAAGAAAAAAACAACAACAACAACAAAACAAACAAACAAAAAAAAACAAACAACCATGAAGAACCATAATTAGAATTTTAAAAGAATAAAAGCATATTCTACCATGGCAGACATGAACTGTCTAAATAAAAAAAGGAGGTGAGATGATGTTCTAGTTGAAAGTCCATAGTCAGAGTGTCGGATCAAATAACAAGAATTTATTCTAAAATCTTGGAATCTTTCACTCTGACATGCAGGATAAGAAGCAAAGTAACTAACCACAGGACAAGTACAATCAGTGACAGGCATTCTTATAGTAGAAAAAGCCAAATGTAGGGCAGGATAGGCAAGGTTTTCTTCTATCAAGAAAAGCTTGACTATTAACTACTGATAGTTTGAGGTGTTAATGTCATTTCAAAGGACATGACTCCAACTTTTTCTTGCATCTGGTGTACCGTCCTCATACATTTAGATCGGGAATTTGAGTCCTTGTGGAGCACAGACCACATAAAACCATGTATGTTTTCTCAGGGGGTCTACATTGGCCTTACTAGTTTATAATAAAAAAAAAAGTTCTCAATTCTTCATTAGGTGACAGAGCCTCTGTGAGAATAAACCCCCCACACATAGAGGAATTAATTTTCAGCGCACTTAAGGGCAATTTCTTACAAATGAAGCAAGAGGCAAGGGGGGAAGAGAGTGAGCTTTGTAGAGGTCTCTCTCAGCAGAAAATAGTGATAGAACCCTGCATCTTACATCAAATCTTATATTGAGCATTTGGCCACAATGGCCAAAGAGGAGATCTTTCCAGTGGTGGAGAGAGAAATGTAATATATGAAAAGAGAGGTTGTTGGACTCCAGGGAAGAGCTGAATTTAGTGATAGGGAAACTGGAAGTGGCTGCAGGGTAAGGTAAACTCCCCTGATCCTTCAGCCCAATCTGAAGGAGGTTGAACTAAGACACAAACCTCCAAGCCCAGACGGAAAGGGTGCTGTTCTGGACCAGCATTTTCCCCTGATTTGTTCCCACAAATGAGTGTGGCACACAGCATGGTTCTCGCAGAAGATCCAGGAAGGTTTGTTAGCTGCCTATAGACAGTTCTCAGTCTTCATGGCAGAGCAGGGCAGGACGTCTTGCAGTGCTGGGAGGTCTCTGCAGCGGGCTGGTGATGAGCTTTGATGGATGTTTCAACCCAAAGGGCAGTGACTGCCATGTGGGATATGAAGAGATGACTTGCAGGGGAATAAAAGCTTGAGGAAGAAGCTTGAGAAGAAGGTCAACTATAAAATATGAAATACAAAGAATTTCAGGGTCTAATTACCAAATCTGAATGAAGAATGCAAAAGAAGCTTTAAGAGCCAACTTGGGTTGTTTTGTTTTTTTTTTGTTTTTTACTTATTCCACTATACTTTGCCAAAGGCTTATTCTGAGTGAAACATCAGAGGAAAGCACAGAAATATGAATATTAACATCACTGGTAGATGCATATTACTTTTGCAGGAAAAAAAGATGAAAGACAGAAATACAGTTATATGCCTTTATCTTCAATGCTACACCAAGAGCCAGACCCCACGTTTTTATCAAGCAAATTTGGTTGAGCTACAAAATCCAAAATACTTCAAAGAAATGAAGAAAGTCTGCTGCAGTATACATCCATACCCTGATAAAACACCTATTGCTTACTCACCCATCCCAACACAGGGTTGGCCAGTGATGGTCATCAGGAGCGGTGAGCTGGGGCACAAAGCAAGCTCCTGTTCCCCAGTAAGCAATGTGTAAGCTGAGGGTGTATACAGTAACTGCTGGGAGGCAGGATTACATACACTGAGTTTTCTAATATCATCAGAATGAGTTCCTGAAAATACCAACATCATCATTGCTCTTTCCCTGGATTCATCTGTCTGCCATGGAAGATGTTTTAATCCCTCTGTTGATTTTCATGTTTCTCATCAGTCTCAGCTATATGTTTTAGCAGGTAATCAAGACTCCTTAAAAACACCTAGAAATATGCATTCCCAGTTTCACCTTCTCTTTATACCACCACATTTCCCTGTCCCAATCCTTTGCTCTGCACTTCATAGCAAAATGGAAAATAATGCACTGAACTAACATAGTTATCATAATCTTGAAGTTACATTGTCATTATTCCACTTACCCAAATAGCTAAGGTGTAACTGTTAACTCTGATCATAAAATGCAATCTGAACTGAAAAATAAGATGCAATAAATGTCAATCACTTCTCCACAGAAAATTTCTGATGGTTGTAAGACTTTGCCTATGCTGTCCCCTCACCACACTTTTCAAACTTACTGCTTCATCTTTCTTTTCTTAAGGAACTTATTTCAGATAGATATTTGCAGCATCAAGCACTATATACATTTAATTTGTTCAGACTACTCTGAGATCTGCTGGGAACAAGCCTTTCCACTTCTGATTTAGCAAAGGCATGTTGATAATTTCTTCTCATATGCTTTTGCTCCAAGGCCTGAGCCATCTTGGTGTGAGCCCATCCATTGCCATATACACCAGTTCAGGGTTTTTTGCCTTACTAGAAAAAAAAAAAAAAAAAAGTAATTTTGTAATACTCACTTTTGGCCTTAGGAGAAAGAGAGCTTCTGTGTATGAAATATGCAGAAAGAAGGATTTCTGAAGGGAGGGCAGGTTAAATTATTATGCTATAACAGCACAGAAAGTTGAATGAATTGGTTTAGTGCCATCACTGTCACAGGCAGCGCCGAGGACAATGGGGCAGGAGTGTCTCATCCCTCAGGAGGTGCCACTGGAGTACTGGAACTGCAATGGGAGGGATGGAGATGCCTTGCCCAGGGGCAGGTGAGGGCATTTCTGTATGATTTCTATATGTCCAGACAGCTGTGAGCAGGACAGGCTCTAACAGCTCCAGGCAGATGTGCCCAGGGCTAGCCTTTGCAGGACAGGGAAGGCTCATGGGAGATAGAAATGCTTTGGGTATCACACATCACTGAGACTCGTCTGAACTGTGTGAGAACCGTAAATCCTTCAGGAAGATGCAGCTGTCAAACAGCACAGCCAAGGGGAGAATCCTCACCAGCTTCCTTCTTTGTGTATTTTTGTATTTCCAGCTGCTCACGTTTGATTGTGAAAGCATCTTGTACAGTAATCAAACCTTTGACTATAACTGGCTGAGCATATCTCCTCTTGCTTTTCCATCAAAACCATATCCCTTCATCATATTCACCACTAAAATCTTGCTTTGTTTTATGATGCACTTTTACAAAATCAGTGCTTATTTATGCAGAAGACTCACACTTACCTAACTACATCCCAGATGCTGTTTGTGTTTCACCTGGAAGACATATCAACCAAATCAAGTTTTTCTGAGGAATTTGTGAAAAATTATCTAAGCATAGGCCCAGCTGTATTAGCTTTTAACTAAGAAACTACTGCCCTTTCACTTATTTTCTTATAAAAACAAACACTAAAATGATGTCACTTTGGTATTTACCCTCCCATAAGGAAAAATCTTAATGTGTTACATACACTGTTGTTCCTATTGTGATGCAGGATACAACACTTGCAATCTATTACCTATCAAAACCCATGCTTTTAAAAGGTTTTACTGCAAGTCTTTGCTGCTGGAGCAAAGGCATTTGACAGAACTTGTCTGCCAAAAGAGAGGCTTTGCAGGGCTTTGGGAAATGCCCAATTCCATATATGTTAACATGTGTCCCTGTGATACAACTGGGTCACTTCACAAGAGACAACCACTGAATACCGCAACAGATTTTTTTTTCTATTGCAGCTTGACTGTGTCACACAGCTAAAGCAAAAGTATGATCAAAAAGCTCTTTGAATCCAACAGAAATTAGAGTTGTTATAAATATAGGCATAAGCGGCAGGAGGGAAATAAATGCAGCCTGAAATTACATGGTGCATCCAAGAACATTGTGGTTTTGCATGATACAAGCTGTTGACAGTGATTAACAACCCTACTGAGATCCATCACACAGGCAAGAGTCTTTTCATGAGAGCTGCCCACAAACAGAAAGCTGGAGGGACTGAAACAACCACAGCTCACTTCCTCTGTTAGGATGCAAGTGGTTGCTCTTTTGATGGCTTTTGATGTGCAGAAAAATACTACAGTGGTAATATAAATGCAGATTTGTGGCTCGATTTGCAAAGACACAGCTCCCTTTGAAGGAGTGTGACAAGCAGCAGTGCTGGCAGGCTGTGCCAGCACTGTGAGACTCGGCCAGGAAGTGCTCAGCAGGACTGGGACAGGCAGTGGGGATTGTGAATGTGCTGGGATCTGCAATGGGGACCCTGGAGGTGCTGGACCCGGGGTAGCAGCTTTATCTCCACCACTGAGATGCTACAACTTGCTGGGAAGAGTTGTCAACCCCACCAGCTTCCAGCGCTTGCCCTCGACCATGCCAGCACCCAGGTATTACAGCCACAATGCCTCTTCCTTTGCCATGCAAGTGTACTCTGAATGCAGCAGTTTTAGTTCAAGGCTATTTCTATTTAAGAGCTCTTTGATGATGATTTTCACCTTCTAAAGGTAAAATGAAAATGGGAAGTCAAAGGTCTGAACATATAAAAATAAGCAACTAATAAAGGTGCTTGCATACAGTACAGATCCCCTCAAAGGATTCGCAGGTAATAGATAAAAAGTCAGAATGGCCAGGACCTCTGAAGAAGGTGTCTGAAGGTTTTCCTTCTCTCCTGCTCCTTTTTTCCATCTTGCAATTTAGTTTTCTCCTCATTATTTCCCTGCACATGGCGCCACCCAGTTTTCATCCTTTTAATCTCCAGTTGTCCTCTGTTTTGAAGTTAAAAAAAAACCCGTTCCACATACTTCTTATGATCCCTTTTTTCCAGCAATTAAAAGCCCACGTGCCTTTCCAGCAGCAGGACCAACAGACCCAGCCTCTGCAGCCACCTGCAGAGGTGGGCTCAGCTCAGCACACCTGCAACAGCAGGCAACACATGGGCACACCAAGAAACACACCTCAGGGCTGGAAAACCACTGCCTGCAGCCTGGGGGTTGCTTTTTTACAGGATGGGAAGACTTGGCCCACCATCATACAGGAAAGAAATATCTCCATCACCTTTGGAGGACAGCACACCTTAGCAGGTCATTTCTGCCTTCTGAAAGTCACACATGCCAGCTGTGCTACTCATTTGTGAGATATCTATACACACACATTTATTATATACAAGCATATTACACACACACACGTTTTTCCAAGCAAACACCTTCTCAATAGCCAGCATCACTCACTTCACGTCAAAAAACTTTTTCAACCCCCTACTAATTGGAGTCATGGCAAATTGGGATCTGCAGAAATCTGCTGACAGTAAAAGTTTTACCCTCTTTCTTAAAAACCTGCATAATTTCTAGTGAAGAACTGCTGGTAACAGACAAGCTGGACCAGTTTACGATGGGCAATTCTTAGCAGATTGTGATTCCACCTCAGATGTCCTCTATTGCTCCTAGCTCCATCCAGCTGAGTACACAACAGGCTTGTGCTCCAATGTCACCAATTTTAATCAAATGGAGGAATTCCAACTTAGCTGAAGATGTGGAGGGACATATTTAAGTACTGGTTTGGGTTTGGAGAAATTTTGTTTGGTTTTGTTTTTTTCTTCCCCCGTCTTTCCCCCAAGCTGCATCAGGGAAGCGCCAAGGACAGAAAAGAAAGAAGTTGCAGAGGTTAACAATTATTTCTTTGTGCTGATAAACTTCTGTCTCTGTTGAAAAAGGAAGGGACTGGGGACACTTCCAGTTGCTTCCACACAACAAGGCAGAGTGTCCGGATGGCTTTCTCTGGGTGAAGAGAAATGCCGGAAAAGGGTATCTTCAAGTACTGGTGCTGCAGCAGTATCTAGGTCCTACACCTGGGTTGGAGCCATCCCAGGCACAGCTGCAGGTTGGGCAGAGAAGAGATTCAGAGCAGCCCTGTGGAGAAGGACTTGGGGGTGTTGGTTGATGAGAAAATGAACATGAGCAGGCTTCAGTGTGTGCTTGCAGCCCAGAAAGCCAACCGTATCCTGGGCTGCATCAAAAGGAGTGTGACCAGCAGGTCAAAGGAGGTGATCCTGCCCCTCTACTCTGCTCTCGGGAGACCTCACCTGGAGTATTGTGTGCAGTTCTGGTGTCCTCAACATAAAAAGGACATGGAACTGTTGGAACAAGTCCAGAAGAGGCCACGAGGATGATCAGGGAAGTGGAGCACGTCCTGTATGAAGACAGGCTGAGGAATTTGGGACTGTTCAGCGTGGAGAAGAGAAGGCTGTGTGGAGACCTCATAGCAGCCTTCCAGTATCTGAAGGGGGCTATAGGGATGCTGGAGAGGGACTCTTCATAAGAGACTGTAGTGACAAGACAAGGGGTAATGGGTTGAAACTTCAACAGGGGAAGTTTAGGTTGGATATAAGGAAGAAATTCTTTCCTGTTAGGGTGGTGAGGCACTGGAATAGGTTGCCCAGGGAGGTTGTGAATGCTCCATCCCTGGCAGTGTTCAAGACCAGGTTGGATGAAGCCTTGGGTGAGATGATTTAGTGTGAGGTGTCCCTGCCCATGGCAGGGGGTTTGGAACTAGATGATCTTAAGGTCCTTTCTAACCCTAACTATTCTATGATTCTACCTCTAAAAATGCAAGTTCAGTGTCTTACAGATTAAATCACCTTCAGGGTATCAGAACCTCTCTCCTTGCAATAGGCAGAGCAGTACTGTCATGTCGACACAGTGCCACAAAAAGCTTTTCCATGTCCCAACGCAGAGCTTGTGCAGGGTAGGAATGTACTTTTTTGTACCTTGAAAGTATACTAGCAGCACCAGCTACCCCCTTACCTTCACCATGCTTTCCTGCCTCACATCTTAGATTGCAGATGATGCTAAAACAGAAGTTAAGTATTTGTTTATCCATAGCAGGTGCTGATATTCCTAGAGGTTTCTGACACTCATGCTCTTCATTGATGTAGTCATAGGAAATAATGAGTAAAAAAAGAATTCAACAAAAGCTCGTAAGCCCCTGTGATAGTTTTCCAGGTCCACCTGCCAGAGCATCCTCTGGAGCGCTAATAAAGACACCCTGAAATTCAGAGAGATCAGGGCACAGAGTTCTTCTGCCTTTCCAAGCTGAAGGTAGGTAGTGTTTGGTTTCTCTGCGATATAAAGGGATGTCCTGAAGAGAGTTGTGAGCTTGGATATTTCTGAGAGAAAAGACTTCCAGATTGCAAATTATGTATTTTATATTTTTTTCATTCAAAGCGTCTCAAAAAAGGTCATGCTAATGATGTTTACTGCCTAGGAATAAATGTTAACACTTCTCCTCTCACTAGATAGTACTGAAGGCTGGAGCAGTGCCTGTTTGCTTTCCAGTTCAGCAAAGTGCACTAAATCAAGCAAAGTACAGCATGTGCTATTTAAAACAGAGCTGTTTGCCATTACTTTACTGTGAAATGCAAATATTTTTTTTTACTAATGACTCTCTTCTGAAGCTTGCAATAGAAAATGCAGTTTAATGATTTTATTGATAGCTGATTTTTTTGCCTTTAATAACCCCCAAATGGCAAACCCCTTTACCCCTCACTCACAGTCCCCTGCGCCAATGCTCAATCCAAGGCAGCAGACATCGGAATTGTTAATGGAAACAGAAAGCCTGTGAAAAAGGCTGAGCTATTAGTGAAGTAATTAATGTTTTTTTCTTAATACAGATAAGGTTGCAAGCAGAAATAATGAAAATAAACCTCTTAACCCCCTTGAATTCAGGTGCCTGGATTGATAATAGCAAGTACTAATGACAGCATGCAGGTCTTGAGCAGGAAGGGGGAGGTCCAAGCTGGGGGTGATAGGTCTTTAAAGAAGCATTTGGAACATTTTGTGACAGCAACACCCAGCCGGCATGGGGTAGGTGCATCCTTACCCTATTTACTGTCAAATAATGCTGAGTTGTGTGATGTTTGTCCATTAGAAATGCTTCAGGCTTGAAATGTGGACTGGCATTATCTGAAGAGGCAAATTAGGTCACCTGGGATGCTGGAGCTGGGCTTTTAACTGGGCATGCCAGGCTGGCACCACTGATCCCTGGACCTGGGGAAAGCCAGGGAGTGGATGAGGGGAGCAAATCCTGGATCTTGTTAGCGGCTTTGTTACTAACTACAGGTTGCAATAAACTCCTAAACAAGGAAAATGTTGCCAGTTGAGCACATTTCCTAGGGAAACCACAAGCTTTAACACTCAGACCGTAACTGTGCTCCTGATTGCATTTGTTTACCACTAATGCACCATATCACGCTTGCTAAACCTGGCTGCACAAAGTCTAGCTTTATCATAGGAAAAGGTCATACCACTTCGACTTGACAACATAAGGAAGTGCAACTACTCTTTTTGCTGCAAAAGCCTTGGTATCACTGTGCCAGGGGGGTGGCTGGATCACCTGAAGGCAAGTAGGGACAAAGGTCTGCTGGAGATGACTTGTTCACAGGGGAAAAGGCATGAAAGTGAAGATGGAAACACGGCCTGCTGAAAAATGATGATAGAGTAATGTTAGGATGTATGCAAGCAACTTGAGAGCTAGAAGAAAAATGCAATTAAGAGATGGCAGTTTCTTGAAGGAGTGATATTGATGGCATAAACACACACTCCAAAGAACAACATAATGCCACCAGCCCAAAGCGCTAGTGGTTCACAAGTTCACAGGTAGGAGCACAGAGAAAGCAGAAACTAGTTCAACTGGTACTAAGGGCAAGAACTGGGGGAAAAAAAAAAAAAAAAAATCTCATGAGCATACAGGGAGAAAATCAGGAGGGCCAAGCCACTCACAGATGTAAGTCCAGCCAGGAGCAATCAGTACCAAGGAAGACAGGCTGAGAGAGTTGGGCTTGTTCAGCATGGAGAAGGCTCAGGGGAGACATTAAAGCAGCTCCCAGTGTCTAAAGGGGACAACAAGGAAGTTGGAGAGGGACTTTTGACAAGGGCATGCGGGGACAGGATGAGGTGGAATGGTGTTAAACTGACACAGGTCAGGTTACATTAGACATAAAGAATTTCTTCCCTATAATGGTTATGAGGCACTGGCACAGGTTGCTCAGAGAAGCTGTGGCTGCGTCATCCCTGGCAGTGTGTTGAAGGCCAGGCTGGGGCTTGGAACAATGTGGTCTGGTGGAAGGTGTCCCTGCCTGTGGCAGGGGGTTGGAACTAGGTTGTCTTTAAGTTCCCTTCCAACACAAATCTTTCTGAGAGTCTATGATATGAAGCAGCAGCAAAAGAGTGACCAGAAGAGTGATGAATCGATAAGGAAAAAAGTTTATGGCAAGTAATACTGAAAAACCAGATCATTTAATTATTTTTTTTGTTAATGTTTTGCTTTACTTTTCAGTAAAAGGACAATTGCAACCAGCTATGTAACATTATTAACATTATTGACACAAGGTTAATAGCTCAGGCTGCAACAGAAAAGATCCAGGTAGAAAAGTTAAATGTTTTCAGATGAGCTGAGCCCAGTGAAATTTTCCTGAAGTTCTTGGAAAAGCAGAGTAATTTCAGAACTGTCTGCTGCTATCTCCAAGAAGTTTCAGAATAAGAATGAGACTGGAAGACTTAAAAAGAACAAATGTTGCTTCTCCACCACTTGCTTTGTAAAGCTGCTTGTGTATATTCAGTTCCTGGAAACAATTATTCAAACCATGCATTTGCAAATCCCCAGAAGATCCTCAGGACATAAGTAACAAGAATGATTCTGTCTAGAATGATTCATGGCAACCCCACTGTCCCCCTTTCTCTGACCGTGGATGCCATGCCTATAGGGACAGAGAGAAACAACACATCTTCCAGAACTGAGGTTAGTGAATCTGTTAAGGCTCTCCCCCATGGTAAGAGAAGCTGAGAAACAGACTTTTGATAAACCATGTAAAAGTTGGGTGGGTTACCATCACACAAAATGCAGACCAGAAAGCTCAGAATCAAAAATAGGAAGACAGAGCTTGTGGGTTCCCCCAGCCTGGTGCTACTCAACAGTATCCACAAATGTCTGGCTGATGAGAGATGGAGTACATTTATCACATTTGCAGGTAATTTCTATGGAATCATAGAATCATAGAATAGTTA